TATATTACATAATATATTATTTTGTGTAGGTATATTTTTGTAAGCATTTATTCAAGATTTTTAGAATGTGATTTGAGAAATTTAGGTATTTGTTTGTATAAACGCTTGAGTATTTTTTTTTTTTTTTAGTCTTCGTCAATTGAGGTCATTAGCCTGTGAAACTATGGGGGAGAGTACTGTAGGTTTTGAAGAAGTGTTTTTTTGCTTGGCAGAATTTTTAAGCGGGCACCCGTAGGTATCTGCCATGTCCGGATAGGGGATGGCGGCCTCACTCTCCGGATACCGTGACTGCCCGAAGAAAAATGCAGCAATTGTCTGAGTTCGCAACTGACGCCGTAGTCCGCTCGGCTACCCCGTCCCCCATAGAGTATTTTTATTTGATAATACTTGACCAGTTAATTTCATTGCTATATTTTGTTCTAATTTCGCAAATTTTATATACATATACATTTGTTTGAGAATTGTATTGGTGATGTCTTGGACGGGCTTAGAAACATTTGTGGTTGATCCGCAATTGAGGTTTCTTGGCTGCTACATTTTAAAGTTGAAATTAAAATAAAATATCATCAGCGAATAAAGCAATTTATATCCTTAGTGAAGTGACATATAATTGATATAAATAATTGCAATAAGGTATGCTGACAAACGAGAAACTTGAGAGTGCAGGCTAGATGTTCATGAGTAAAGGATGTGATTGAGTTTAATTAAATAAGAAATTATGTGCTGGAAATGAATATCTCCCTTAAGCTTGGGAAAAAATATATATGATTCCAAATTCCTAAATATGTCCTAAATAATTTCACATCATAGACAAATTGTCCTTCCTAAAACGCTCTGTCAAACGTCTTCAATTCCAAGTCGCTGTAAAAACTTCAAAAGTTTATACTCAAACCCAACGGCCTACCCCAAAGTTCTTAAAGAAGAATTTAGATTCCGCAGCCACTGACACACGGCGGCAGATCAATCTGTTGTATACACATTCTAACTCTATTGTAATTAATTATATCACAAATAACCATGACCACTTTCTGTGACAGGGTAGTTGTGACAAATGTTTTCAAACGCAATTCGATGAACCGCCTTTGCTGGAGCATGCAGATACATAACTTCGTCAACCACCATACACTTCCTGTTTACGACGAATGAAATTGTTACATTGTTCCGATTGTTATGCCCTGTTCAAATACCAGTTCAATCATACCAATTGGTAGTGTTAGGAATTTGAAATTGTTGACTATTGTGTTTGTGAATACTTTAACTTTGTTTTTTACCCTCATAATTAGGTACTGTATGATATTACATGAATGTTTTACCACGATGAAGAGTTTAGTCTGATGTTTGTGGATGAAGCCGATTAAGCCTAGGAAGTTGGTCCATTTGCTGTCACAATAACCATTTAGGAGTGTATAACTTAGTATGATATGCAGGAAGTATCACAGTAAATGCACACGTTTATAAACAATCTCCGTCGTTGTTGATGTCGCTGGTCGGGGTTGGGATATTGGTTTCAATAACGTAATGTTGTTTTGTCTGCCAAATGCTGCGTGTAGTTTTCGTCGAGCAAAGGACAACTCGTACGGTAAAGTTTTGTCGATGGTGTTATCTGCAGCAGTGGCCACGACGGCAGTTATTCCGTATGTAATAATGTTGCGTTTCTAACCGTATTAACATAGAAGCAGTGTTAATTGTATTATTTTTTTAATAGAGACATAAATATCATTAATGACCATTAATTGAATACATAGTTTACCAGAAATATAGATATTATTGTTATTCGTTTACTATTAGTTATACGTACTTAAAATTATAATTTCTCGTATTAATGTTTTAGTTATTAATTTTATGAAAATAACGCTTTAGAACTTTTGTAAAAATAAAAACTTGTTGTTATTTTTATCCTCTGACGATCATAGAGTGACTTAAATTGCTACATAATTATGTAGTATTTATGATCATTTTGAGATATTTTCTAATAATAATTAATAATTAAATAACAAAATAAAACAAGATTTGCTTATTATATCATATTATTAACCTAACCTTTGCAGAAGTTAACAACAGTTTAGAGTTAAACAAAAATGAAAAGTTATACAATATTAAATTTAAATACTTTCTGACACATCTTAATATTTTACTGTACCAAATTATTGCAGTAAATTTATTTTTTAACCCTATCGTATAATGAAGGCCATCTGGACCAGTAATTTATATTAATAACAGTGCATAGCCAATGAAACATTTCAAAAGGTCTGGTGGTCGATGGAACAATTGCCTATATATGATCTTTATCGTGTATAGTATAAGTTAATATTGTATTTATGAATATCATAGTTGTAGATTATTATCTATACTAATATGGAGAAAAATAAGCATTTTGTACTTAGTAGTTAGTATACAGTGTATACAGTGTATACTAACTATGATATTCATAAATACAATATTAACTTACTATACTAATCATAATCATAATTTTGTTTTTGAAACATTATTGTTATATGTTATTATTAACGAAACTATATGATATGCCTACATATTATTTTTCCAGAAGAGTTCAAATAAAATAAAATAGAAGTCACTTTTTAATGAATTTTTACCAATAGTTTATCCAAACTACCTATACGCAGTTAAAAATTTTTTTTATATGAAAAAAGCGAAATATCTTTCACCCTCCTTGTACACAAAATTAAATTCAAAAAGGCAAATCATTCCTGAGTGAGTGTACTCTTAAATATGCCAAACACAATAATAAAACTTCTGTTGAAATTAGTTCGATCAGAATATTCAGAATCGTTTTTTAGAAAATTTGGATACAATAATATCTATAGAATTTAATAAAAAAAATTACTTAGGTACCAATACCCTCCACCCATAACCATCTTATAAGTACTCGTCGTGTTGAGAAAGTCTTTTGTATTTTTATTGAGTTTAAGTCATCAATAGTTATAAAGGTCTTAGGAATTATTAACTATAATATTTTATATATGAAGAAAGATACTGTTAGGGGAATATGATTGATTTTTACATAGTAAGTTTTGTAGAAAACTGGAAGTAAGTTTTTTTATCCCATTTGTTTTGTTGAAAATTATTGAAAACGATTTTAATACGTAAGTTAACGTAAAATAAAATTGAAATGACGGTATTCAGTTAGGTATTTAGCTATGTGCAGCCGGTGTCTGACTAAAATAACTTTGCGTCGAAACGGCGTAGATACTATCATTGAAATAAAGTCAGTGATTTGTTGAATACGATAAATCTAATTTCAAGTCATAATTACTCTTTGTAGAAACTACCTTAAAGAATTATTGTTCGTAGTGGAGAGAGTAAAAATAAAATAAAACAGTAGATAATAAGTATTATCGATTTAAAATTATTATGATTATTAAATCAGTAGGTAGGTATGTGTTAATACACATAAGTATTTTATTGGTTGATGTCGTAATACATAATGCATAATGCAAAAATACTAGTTTTACCAAAAATAAAAAAATATATAATAGTAAACGTGAAATAAAAAGAAGTAAACTCGTCTCATCACGATCATCCCGACTAAAACATGTGATGTATTATAGTACCTAATATCAAATTCGGAAGCAATGTAAAAGGTTTGTATTAAAATATTAAGTTGGTAGAAGTCGAGTAACATTTCTTCAAAACCATACTTGCCTTTATTTCACCAAAACATTTTTATTTCCGTGATTTTGCCATACCTACTCTTTAAAAATACTTTTGAAAAATCATAAGTAAATTAGCCCAATATACGTTCCATAGAGCACAACACCACTTATTATAATAGCTATCTCCAATTATACCTCAAAATGATTGAATTTTAGTGAATATTTGTATTTTTACCTCTATATAGGGTACATAAAAACACTAAAAACTGTAACAGGCGATTTTTACCCCCACATATTTTAACCCCCCCCCCCCGTAAATATTCCACTTTATGGGGGATATAATTAATATCCTAGGATATAGTTACCTCCCGGTAAAATTGTTTGACGGGGGGGGGTAAAAATATAGGTACTAGAATATATTTACCGACTAGTATAATATGTACTACAATAATATCATAGTTACCTCCAGAGCTAAAATACATTTCTTGAGATTATTTATAGTGCTTATTAGTGCCAATAAGTTGATAAAATGTCTGTGATAAAATTGCATAGAATTTAGGTATTTGCAAATTATTTTGTGCCCCTGACAAAAATAACAGAAGTGCAGCCTGAATGACAAGCTGACCACAAAATCATAAAAAAACAAATCTTTAAGGTTCATTACTCGGATGCGTATGATCCAAACGCTGACTCTAATCATATATTATAATAGCTATAGTTATATTATTTATTTATTTATTTAATTTTATTTTATATACAAATTTATTTTAATTTTATATATGAATACTCCCCACTGAGATGACTAGTGTGGGAGCCAATTATAATGTATAATTCCCACATAATTAAACGGTGGATCTAGACGACGGGCGTTTATTGATAAAATAAAAACATTAATGCATAATTCGTTATACAAACAATATTATAAACTCAAAAAGTCAAAGTTGAAACAATTAGTTTTATAATTTAACACAGGTGAAAAATTAACAAAGCCTACATTACTTAAAATGTTTTCTTGGTTATTATAAATAGATGGTTATTCAATATTATTATTTTTATTTTTAATAATTAATTAAAAAATGTTAATTTAATATTAATTCGTTTTCTATAGAAGGTTCTATATGCATCAGTAGTAGTTAGTAGATCTAACTTACCTACCTATTAAGTTACCTTGTCGTAAACGAAAGGGTTAGACCACTGTTTTCCTATTCTTGTATAATATAGTTCATAAAATGTAATTTTATGTAAAATAATAATTACTAACCGTATATATGCTGTTTTAATTTAAAAACATTCTAAATTTAAATGGTTTCTTTCATCCAAAATGATGAGGTACATTTTCAGTAATAATCCATCACGCAATAATACTGTTTATCATTACTGTTTCAGGGCTATGAGAGATGCGCAATTAAAAAGAGACAAATTATTCAAAGAGAACAGAAAGAACGAATGCAAACGTCTAAGAGATTCTAATTGCACAACATTGATGCTCATTGTCGTTGTGACAGTTTTCTTAATGACAGAAATTCCATTGGCTGTAGTAACAGTAAGTTAATTTACTTAATGACTTTTAAGGTTCAAACATTTTTAATTATTTGTCAGATATATTTTATTGAAAATGATTGGTGGTGTGATGTATCGAAATATTAATTTCAACATTTAAAAAAGAAAAATGTTTTATTGCTTTGATTTCATGGTTGAAATGCATGGTAATTGATTATATCATCAAACCTTTCTTCCATTTTAGTAGTTCATGAAAATAAAATGATTTCGTTGGAATAATATTAAATAATAGTAATAATAATATTAATAATACACATAACTGATTTAGAATGTAATTTGTATGGGCTATTTTTTACAAAGAAAAAATAAAATTAATCTAAAAATATTCTTCAAAAATGTTTCTTTTTAGGGTTTCGTACGGTAAAACGGGGGCCTATTACCAAGGCTCCGCTGTCCGCCCGTCCGTCTGTCACCAGGCTTTATCTCAGGAACCATGAAAGTTGAAATTTTCACAGATTATGTATTCCTGTTGCCAATATAAGCCAATAACAACAAATACTAAAAAATCTTAGAATATATAATATAAGCAGTGTTGCCAACATGTTTCTTGTTTATAGACGATGGTACGGAACCCTTCGTGCGACTCGCACTTTGCCGGTTTTCTATGATTTATTTCTTGACGAGAAATGTTCAATTTAATAATTTCAATCTAAACAACTTTAAATTTTGATATACGATATTCAAGATTGAATTAATTTGTAGAATAATGACTTGATAAACTTGAGTTGCATGGTCATAAAAAAATTGTTTACTGTTTGATATAAATATTCAATATTTTTACTTAAAAATATAAGCTGAAATTATGGCATATGCTATCAAAAATCTAACATATTGTTCAATTTCCAATCAAATGGCAGGGAATAGTCTACGTTGGCTAATATTTCAATTGTATGAAGAAAAAAATATTAAAACTGACATTAAATCAGGCGCTGCAGAGATTGTTGTTATTTTAAATTATAACAATGAAGATGAATAATTGCTTTCAAAAAACTTGATCCCCAAAAATGATAAACACCAGCTGCAAAAAAAACTGATGCTTGCTTTTATTTCTTTAATTTTATCGCAACCTTTTGTTATTATCTAAATAACAACAGTGAAATAAAATAATTATGCTTATGTTTCGTTTTTAATCTACGGTGAGGCTACCTACTGCCTGAAATTTCTAACTGAACTAATCTTTTTTTTTTTAAATAGCACTTATGAATAATCAATGTAAGGCCAATAAAATCCTGCAAACATTTCATACTATCATTCCGTCATCAACAGCTGATTACAAATACACTAGGCCTTTATACTCGGTAGCATTGTAATTTTTTGGTGTCAAAAGACTATTGTCATCCCTCTTGCTGCAGGTTGAACCATAAACATTTCCTAGACGTTTGTCTTCACATTTTAGTGGGTCACGTTAGGTTCCGTTAAAATAGAAATTCGTCTATTTGAATTGTGATATCACTCAAATACTGTATACACGTTTATCAGAATCAATCGCAGACAGCTATAATTTACTGTCAATCAATGATTTATTGTTGGTCCACATATTGATTATTAGGTATTATTTTATACCCATATATTCCAAACATACGAACAATTTCAAAAAAGTTATCTACTTTAAATGTGTTTCCCACAATCTTTCATGAAATGATGGATAACAATTATACATCTATGGAAATTTCATGGGTATTTACATATATACATATACATATACATATTATTATACAATTGTCAGTTCTACAACAAATTATAATAATTTTTGAAATACTCTATTAACAGTAATTTTTAATTAATAATAGTAATATTCTTGCATCATTAAATTACCAATTTTTTTTTTTATATTAAAACACATAATGTCACAAAAACCACTAAGCTAACCTTAATTAATTCAGAAGCTATAAAACTTAATCCCTTTGGCCGTTATCATCTTTACAGTATAATTATAATCATGTGAAAATAAAAATGAATAAATTACGTTTGTTTTAATTTCCTGCTAACTATAATTAAATACAATTGTGTTCTATTTTTACTACCATACATATTTTCATCACCAGTCTGGTTTGGAGGTCAATTAATATTAGTGAGATCCATTTTATATTCTGATCGGAGCGATTGGTTTTACAATGATGTGTGTGTATGTTTTATTTGTGTCTGTTTTGGAACAGTAACAATGCTACTCCACTTCCATGGTAGTTTCTGATTACAAAGTTAGTTTCAAAATAATCGAAAAACTGACAAAAAATTACTGGAATATTTCCATAAACCCAGTTTTCAACTAAGAATGTAAGCGAATTAAGTTCAAATTTTAAAAACTCATGAACGTCAGCAAATTGTTTTGCTGTTAAAAATTGATCAAATTTCCGATTTTAAAATCTAAAGATTGGAAATTAAAGACAAGGGTCATCATAGGTTGCCCTTACAAAAATCAAAAATACTTAAATGCAATATTTTATTAATAGACTTTCGAAGTATACTGTTATATGATAATTTATTATACTGGATATTTATATGATAAATAACTATCTTACATTTATTGAGTTAAGTTTATTTGCTTTAATTCTAAAAACATTAACTTGTAACTTTTCGCCATTACGTATATGATTATTTTATTCTCACAATTTTATTTTCAAAATATTTAAACTAATTTCTTACTATTTACACCGTGATACTCTAAGTCAGTCGGTATTCACTTAAGTTAACATCATCAATAATAATATGTTAGATATTTTTGGCATAAATTAGTTGTACCAATAGTATAAGTGAGAGAATATTTAAAATAAATTGCTAATAGTGATATAAATAAATCATAAAATATAAAATTATATTCTTAGAAATGGAGGGCTGACACGCCATCTCCACTCATGATCGTTTTTCGTGTGCAATGATACCTACTCAATAACGAGGTACCCTCAAAACCTACTATACAACAGAGTGACTTTTTTTATTTATTGTGCCACAAACACGTTTACACAATAAATTTTGATATTCAATTCGGTTCTAACTAACGTACAATAATAACATAACACTGACTTGGGTCCCGATGAGCGAAACGATACAAACGCCCAGCAGTGTATCATATTTTGTATGCGGTCCAATTGTTTAGTTGTAACAAATGTTTTTTTTCTTTTATTCTCTTAAAAGTCAAAATATATGTAAAATACGTTAGTTAGAATTGTTATATCCAAAATAAATATGCCATTATGTTTTCCAAAACTATCACGAGGAATATAATAGGTAGGTACTCCAAATCAAAGTATTTTTATTGAGAGAAATTATTATTATTATTATTGTTTGAAATTCAAATAAATCTAAGTAATGACTTAATGTGAAATATTAGTTGTACATTATATCGTATCAAAGGCTATGATTTCTATGCATAAGAATATTTTTTTCCTTTAATGCTATACCTACATTGATTGTCAGTTATACGCCATCCACGATTCAGCTAATACTGAATTGAATAAGTAGAACAATTAATTTGCATAATTTTGAGTATTTTAATTAAAAAGCATATAATTGCACATCTAGAGTTTTTGAGAATTGATTATAAAAAACAAGTATAAAATCTTCGTAAATATACTATATTTATAATCTGACATGGTCAGTTATAAATCGAGTACAATATAAGATTTTATCTAAATAGGCTTGTAAACTTTGGTTATTCATAGATTAATTCAATAATCGTTAATGGGTACGACGAGTGCAGTTCGACATGCAGGTGATACACAATTAAATGCGTGACATTTAGTGTAACATTAAAATAAATGATTTGAAGAATGCCTCAAGTTCATAGTAAAGATGCTATTTCATATTAGTTGCATATTCAGTAAATTTGTTGAAGAATGTTCAAGTTACGTTTTCATAATTTATGGAAAAATAATATATTATATTACCTATTTGTGATCAGTTTGTATATAAAAACTACTTATTTAATACTTACATTTTTTTAGAATTTATATTATATTATATTATATTTTCTATTTGCATTTTTTTTTTTTTTTTAAATAAAATACATATTTTATTTTTAGATTCTGAGTGAAACGATGAATGTATTGATTTTACAATGATGTGTGTTTTTTTTTTATTTTTTTTGTGTCTGTGTACACGATAAGTAGTCGAAATAATGCTTCGATTTTCGACTTCAGTATCTTGTTCGATTGGAAAGTGAATATCGTTGGTGCATTGAGGAGGTCAAAATTTAAAATTCCCAGTACTTTTCAAAAGCGCCAAGAAAAACAAAAAAAATTAAGGAAAAATGGGAATTTTTACGCAAAATCGATTTTTCAGAAAATTGAATTTGGTTTTTGGTGTAACTTTAAAACAAATGACCGTAGGTACATGAAATTTTCACTGGTTGTTTATATTTGCATCTTCTATACACTATAACATTTTCAAAATATTTTGATTTATTTTGAACAGTTTAGGGACATTTTCATTTTTCATTTTTTCAAAAACGAATAACTGTAGATACCTGAAAATTTCACTCAATGTTTATATTAGCATTTCCTATACACCATACGATTTTGAAAATATTTTGACTCTTTTTGAGCTGTTTACGGACATTTTCATTTTTTCATTTTTTTAGTTTTTTTTTCTATGAATATCAATAAAGTTTTATCTGTTGGGCCAAAAAGTGTAAAAATGTAATACAAGGCTCCTGATATATAGTTACAATATCAGTTGAAAAATATTAAAAATACATAGGCACAATTTTTTTTTATAAGCATTTAAACATCGAATTTTGACAGAATTTTTCAAAATCTCGAAAATTATTAATAATCGTAATTATTAAATTATAAAATGTTCAGTTTTTATAGCAAGGATTGAAAATTTAAAACAAGATTCCACGTAAGTAGTTAATTCTCTTACCGAAAAATCTAAAAAATATACAATCACAGTGTAATGGGTAAAATATAAGAGTAGAGGTTTAGGGGCTGTATTATTAGAGAGAGAGATGTAATGCCCGATGGCACGAGAATGAATCTTACGTTTTTATTTATT